AAATAAGTAGTTTGAAAGTACAACAAATTAATTTTGCAAAATCGAAAGTATGACATTATATTCAGCCCTAAAACATGTTTTTATTACAGTTAACTATAAATATTACTAATTAACTGATTAGTTATACTCTAGTGAATCAGTTTGAAAGCGAAGACAAATTTCTTTTTAATCTTACTCTACTGCTTGGATAGAATGAATGATTTTCTTTTAAGAAAATGTCATGTTTTACAAATTGATTGCATATTAGAAATTGATTAAAGTTAACAAAAATGTAGTATAGTTTTCCAACTTTATGTTTTTGACAGCATATCATTCATTATAAAACAAATATTGTGCTTCCATATTTTATGCACATTACCAAGTGTTAGACTCGGACGAGACAATTATTATTGATAATTTATAATATTTTTTCAAGTCAACAATGTAAACACTTGGATGCCAACTTAATGGTCCAAAATGTAAGTGGTCAGCTTGAGATCAGAAGTTCTTGAGATTTCATTGAAGTAGGAGTCTTGAATGGGAGTTGCTGAATAGTTCTATATTAGTACGAAAAAGTTCTCTAGTACTTCCTAGGTTGCAAAGGTTACCTAAGATCAGTTCGTGATGCAAAGGGTCAAATAATAATAATATATTCCCATACTAGGACGAAACGGCCATCCAGTGCTTCCAGGTTTTCAATAATGGTCTAACATTCATCGATTTATTATCACAATCTACACAACCCCAAACTGATAATATTCTTATACTTATTTACTTAGTTACGCCTGTTACTTCTCGCGAAGGAGCATAGGCTGCTCACCAGCGTTCTCCATCCAACTCTGTCCTGGGCAATCCTTTCTAGCTCCTTCAAGTTCCTATTCATCCTTTTCATATCTGCTTCTATATCTCGACGTAATGTGTTATTTGGTCTTCCTCTTTTCCGTTTCCCTTCAGGATTCCAAGTTAGTGCTTGCATCGTGATGTAGTTTGATGATTTGCTTAATGTATGTCCTATCCATTTCCATCGTCTTTTCCTAATTTCTTCTTCAGCTGGAAGTTGGTTTGTTCTCTCCCACAGAAGGCTATTGCTGATGGTATCCGGCCAATGGATGTTGACTATCTTGCGTAGACAACTATTTATAAATACTTATACCTTCCTGATGATGGTTGTTGTAGTTTTCCAAGTTTCAGCTCCGTATAGTAGAACTGCCTTGACGTTGGTATTGAAGATTCTCACTTTGATATTGGTTGAAAGTTGTTTTGAGTTCCATATGTTCTTCAACTGTAGGAATGAGACCCTTGCTTCGCCAATCCTCACCTTTACGTCTGCATCTGAACATCCTTGTTCGTCGACGATGCTTCCCAGGTGCAGGATTCTACATCTTCCAGAGTTCCGCTATCAAGAGTGATTGGATTGTTGTTCTCCGTTCTGAATTTGAGGACCTTGGTTTTCTCCTTGTGTATGCTGAGGTCTACTGATGAAGAGACTCCTGCTACACTAGGTGTCTTTATCTGCATTTGTTCATGTGTATGCGATAGGAGGGCCAGGTTATCTGCGAAGTCCAATTCGTCTAACTGGTCCTGAGCTACTCATTGTATGCCATATTCTTATAGTCGATATAAATTACCTTCAACTATCAAATAGTGCTTTTTAAATGTGTCCCAATGGCTTATAACTCCTGCAGTATATTGTATTAAATAAATAAATATTTTTTTATTATTCAATCAACCAATGGTTTAATTTTATTATTCTTGTCAAAAATGAAACAAAGTCATCTATATATGTATATATTTAATGACTAATTTTTTGTTTCTAATATTTAAATTCGTCTTATACTCACGTAACATCTGCTCAAATTTTAAAGGCTCAGTTGCTAGGTCAATTTCTCAATTCATTCAAGCATTAATTTCACTGTGAAATGACTTAACGAAAACAAGAATTATTTCCCATAAAATATAAAATTCTTAAGTAGATGAATTCATCGAATTTAAATAATCATCTAATAGCTAATGATGTTTTATTAATTTCATTCTATCAGTTAGTATGAAAAACTCTATTCTCTTAGGCTTTGGTTATTCTTCAATAAAATATACATCTTTACATGATTAAAAATGTTTGAAAATCTTAAACAATCTTAGTTAGTAGACTTATGCATGTATTTTTCTTTTGTACAAAGAACCATTTCTGATTGGTCAATACACATACACTTTGTAGTTTTAATTGTATCTATGTGCTTTCTTTTTAAGAAATAAGTAAAGGGAATTGTCTTCCTTTTTTTCTCTCTATTTTATGACTATTTAGTTGTTTTATTTCGTATGCAATTGTAGATAATAATAATATTCGAAGTGTAATTACATTTTTTTATCGTGATACAGTTTAACATGTACATAACATTTATATCTATGTTCAATTGTGATTTATGTTAGATAATTTATATCAGTAAAAAAAATTCATCCTATTTGTTTTAAGCAAAGATGGATGGTGGTTAGCAGTGGAATCCAGGACGCACGTTTCGTCCCATTTAGGTCTCGTCAGCTGGATGTATCTGCATTCCAGAGTTGATGTTCACTTCGGGACTCGAACCCAGTATCGTTCGCTTCAAATTTCATCGTGTTATCCACTTAGGACGTCACGTGCATCTTGGATTCTACTGCTAGCTACTATCCATTTTTGCTTATAAAGCTTGTTATTTAAGGCAATTATGAGGCAATCCACACAAGATGCACATATACTAATAAGTGATTGATCAATTACAGTCTTAAACAACAATGGAAAGATACAAGCAAACAATATCAAGTGAATCTATTTATTTTAAGTTGTCAGTAAATTTCTTGTTATCAACGTGAAAATCATAAGAACTTTGTTGTTATCTTTTAGATACACAATTCACGTCAATGAAAATTTGATGTGATAATTTTTATAATCAATATATATTTACTTTATTAATGACTTAATGGTATTACAGATAATCAAATTTAGGACCATTTTTATTTGCCATGTTGTTTAAGGAAAATGTTAGTACTAATTATCAAACAGTTGTAGTTGTAGGAAGTATGCATGATGTCACCGATCGAACAGTTTGCTGTCCAACTATTGAGTTAATTAATTAAAAATCCTAATATTTATTTCAATAGTTGAGATCATAAGTCAATTGAAGCTAGACCACCATGGAAAACCGAGAAGCGCTGGACGGCTGTTTCGTTCTAGCATACGAATCAGCAGTGCGCATTCACGACTCCGCCACGCGAGATTCGGACCCAGGACCTATCAGTCCCGCGCACGAGCACTTAGCCACTAGACTACTGAGCTGGCCGGCACCCAATGATGTTAATGTCTAACTTCAACTAATCCACGAAATTGAGCGACACATCCACCATGGTGGTCTAGCTTCAATCGACTCATGATTTCAACTATTGGAATTACTGCAATCTCCACAAAACTCCTGATGCTAATATTTATTTATTGTTAGAAGTGAGATCAAGTGTACAATTCAGTTTATTAGTAAATAACGTTAGTTATGAATCCTTTTACATATTGGAACTAATATTATTTAGTGAGCAATCAATTGTGGATTGATTAAGTTAGTGTAAATCTATTTAAAGTGAATAAATGTATTGTGGGCGAGACTATAGTTTATGGACGAACCAATCAGATTTAGGATAACAGGTCTTGGATTTTGGTGAGAAATACACTCACCCATTTGACCGAATAGCATCTTGACATTTTAGCTTATATCAGTTTGTGATGACAAACCGTAAATCTAATTCCTAACCATAACCATCAACTGTGAATCATAATCCTTATTGTTCAAACTGATTTATAGCCCTCATTTAACCCTAGTAAGTAGGTAGAGATTCTCAAGGTCACTTCGGTGTCGCTCAAAGGTTGTCCATAAATTATAATCTCACCGTATTGAGATATCTTATGCGTATGTTATTGCTGTAAAATGTGTTTTTATTTGCTGCTTTCTCTTCGCTGTCAAGTCATAGAGGACTGTATATAACAGTTGGAAATAAAATTTTGTTAGTTCATTTTACAGATTGACTTGAGCTGGATAAAATTAGCGAAAATTATACAGTCTGTTTATTTTATTGTATATCAATTCATCACGACACATCCACAACCACATTAGGGATCATAATCAATTCTTTCAGGCCTTGATTTGAATGTGCTACCGTTGACCCATTGAATTATCATTCATTAGTTATTAATTCAAGTAACAGACGTAAATTAATAACAAATCATAATTTCAATTCCTCAGGATTCAACTGCAATTTTATATTGAAGTTACTTATACTATTTAACCATTTTAACGAAAATAGGGGGAACTAGATACGGATTCGCAATCTAGTGATTGAAAAAACCTGTTAATTGTAAGCTAGATAATAAAATATGCACATATTATGCAATCTTATGCTTATCTCTTGATCACAAGGTTCTTAGTTAAATTTTGTATGTCAGATAACAATTCAGAACTAGTGTTAATCCTTCTGTCAATTAGACAGTTCACATATCTGAAAGTACTGGATGGTCGTTTCGTCCCAGTATAGGACTCCTCAGAAATGCACGGGATTCGAATCCAGGACTTTCAGTCTCATGTGCAAGCACTTAACTTCTAGACCAATGAACCTGCCTTCAGGTTTTCAATAGTAGTTTAGCTTAGATCAAGTCATAAGTCCAACTTACTACAATCTCCACAACCCCCTATTCTGATTTCAGATATCGTAAGATTTTGATTAGTTGCTAAATTCTAAATAAACGACAAATGTATGAAATACATCAATAAATGGTTAATAATTTACTATACTTAAGTAAATTTCAGATTGTAAATATTAGAATAAACAAAAAAAATAACCGTTTTGTTGAGTCTAACATTTGATTTATCCAATAACGGACTTACAATGCTACTTTGTCAGTGATTTAACAATGGAAACTGATCTATTTATTCACCAAAATAGTGTTAAAATCATTCTATTTTCTTAATTATTACTATTTTATAGCCTCTCCTTCTAAAACACCAATGAATGATACTAATAAACTAATCAAATCAATTTCTGATGGTGGAAATTCCATTATAAATTCTGAATTCAATACACAACAGTTATTAACAGAAAATTTGTTACCAGGTAAATATAATTCTACTATGGAAAAATCAAATATTCTTATAAAAAAATCACAATCAACATTTGAAGTTAAATTACAACCAAATTCTAATCTATTAGATAATGAATATAAAACAAATTTATATGATCCAACACAAATCAAATCAGACTATTTATTTCCATCAGAAATTATAGATATAATGACTAGTAGTACTATTGCTGCATCTTCAATAGGATCATATTTATCTAATTCTATCACTGATAATTCACAATCAATCATTTATTCATCAATGAATAATACTTTATTAAATACAAATTCATTCCTTTCAGATCAATCAATCAATACAAATACAAATATACCATTATTTCAACTGAATCAACAATTTCATCATAGAGAATCAGAACAAACTACTAATCATTTAGAGAATAGAACTGATATTGATAAATATATCAATGAGAATAGTTTAAGGAAATTAAATGAAACCCAAGATAACTATGATAATGTTATATCAAAGGAAATGATACACAATAACAGTAATAGTAATAATAATAATAATAATAATCAAAGTGTAAATTGTAACTATAATAATTTGTCATGGATTAATAAAGAAATAAATGAAAATAATGAATTATTAATAAATGATAATTCACTTTCAACTTTATATAATCATAATACATTTTGTTTATCAGCTATGAATGAACGAATATCAAATAAAGAAAATCAACTTATTAATCAATCGAAAAGTAAAGTTTATTTAACAAGAAATGAGAAACTTCCATTAACAGTTGATACAAATCATCAATGTATTAATAATAATAATAATTTGACAATGTTAAGTAGAAGTAATATGTTTATTAATGATAGATTTGCACAAAATGTCAATTTATTGATTCACAATAATAATGAGGTTAACGATGATAATGGGGAGCTGGTTAATCATATGAGTGAAGACGATGATGAAGGTGATGATAATGATGATAAGAATGATGAAACTATGAATAATACTGGAGAACGGTGTGAAAATACTACTACTAATAATAACGGAAGACATCGTTCTATGCAGTTAGATGAGTTTAAAAATACAGTGTTACATAGTGATCATGAAAATGATTACAATGAAATTAATTCTTCATCTTCACAAGATAGATTTATTCATTTATTACATCAATCTCATTCATTCGAATCACCAATACAGACAAGTTGCTGTGAAATGCCAACTAGTGAAGTATCATCACAAAGAAGTATAGTTGATGATGAAGGAGATGATGTCGAAGTGGATGATGATGATGACGACGATGATGATGATGTTGATGATGACGAAAGTATGACTGGCCAATGTGGAATAAATCATCGTCAACATCATTTAACTAGTGGTATTGAAAGTAGCTTAAGTTGTGGTGGTCCTGGTAGTAGTAGTGGAATTAGCCTCAATACAAATAGTGGAAATAATAATGGTGGAGGTGCAAAACGTCGTGGTCCACGTACAACAATTAAAGCAAAACAATTAGATACACTTAAAACAGCATTTGCTGCAACTCCTAAACCAACAAGGCATGTTAGAGAGTCATTAGCACAAGAAACTGGACTTTCGATGCGGGTTATTCAGGTAAATCTAATAACCTATTCCCTTTTTTTATTAATGTTTACATTTTCTTTGTCATATTTTAATGGAGAAAAGTAAATAAGTTGAGGTTCTACTTATTTAGTTGTTTTTCCTCCTAGTCAGTTTCATTATTGTTATTGTTGATATTTCATTATTCGACAAGTAAAGTAAATAAATTTTTAATCATTTTATTATTATTCTCATCATCATCTTTATAATTATAATGATCATAAGGATTATATTTTTGGATAATGTCAGTTTATGTTTTCTTCAATAAAATGTATCACAAGCTTTTTCTAGGTCATTGTCTTCGTTTGCTTTCTTCGTATCGTCTTGGTGTTTTGTCCTAATTCGTTTTATTTTCTTCCTTCTTAAACTCTCATCTTTTTATAAATTTTTTTTGCCTTAGTTTTATCTCATATCAAACCTGTCTATTATGTCACAGTTGAGTTGAGTAGAATGACATAAGAGTTCTTTTACTTAAAACGTGTGTCATCTGTTAGACAGAAACAAATTTCGTTTATGCTTTCACTTAGGTTCATATACTCTTGCAAGTGTACAAACATACATGCATTTATCAAGATATAGAACAGCATCTTAAAGTATGGATGTATATACGTAAATGTGCATATATACACATGATTGGTTTAAGACTGGCCTTTTGTCTGTATGTACCTATAAATGAGAGCCTCATGTGTAAATCTAATAAGATAGTAATATATGATAGAATACTTCAAGCAGTAACTTAATTCAATGAGGGCTGTCATCCACAGGCTGTTACTTAATTCTCTATATTATTATTATTTTCCATAATTTTGGAAAACTTATTTATCTCAATAACATTATTCATTCATTATGAAAAAGAAAGTTGTGGAAAATGAAGGAATGATCAATTATGTGTGAATTGATCTATTAGAAAAATGATGAATAGGCGAAAACTTCTAAGAATACTGTTTTATTTTAAGTCTGTGGTAATCATAAGGCAAGACCGAAAATTGAATATTGGACTGAAAGGGTATTCAGCACAGATGAATTTCGGTATGAAAAGATCATATATTATAAGGTATAACAGTCATATAAAGACAGTTTTTTTTGTGTAAACTTATCTGTAAAGGATAGCGCTCTCGCAAATTTGATAATAAGTTTAGAACTAAAAGGTTAATTAAGCTTGTTTTTTCTATCAGGTCGATTATTTCATTTCAAAAGTTTAACGGCTCTTAACCTTTTGATGTAGAGTGTACAATATATCATTATTTTTTGAACTATTAAGACTTACCAATTATTAGTTAGGTCTGGAAAATTTCCGTATTGTCAGTCTACTCAAACATTTGATATTGAATATACATTTCACTCAAAAAAGAATCTAGTGACATTACATGTGAGTTCAAAGAAAAGTGGCTGACAACTTTATTACGTCATCAATATTATTTGTTATTTAGTTCAAAAAAAGTAAACAGTGAACAAGTATAAATAAGAACTTTCGTCTAAATTTAATCGAATAGTTTAACAGTTTTTGGGCGCCGACTTAATGTGAGACAGTCTGGTCCAAGCTTTTTCAAGATTACCAGGTGAAACGTTGGATTCACTTCAAATTCTTTCACTAAGATTTTACAAATACATTCTTCCTCTTTAGTGAACAAATATGTTCAAAGCAAAAAGCTATTGATGAATAGAATATTCATTTGAACTCTGTAACTTATGTACGCTGATTGTTTTCAAATCGGTAAAATTATTTAAGTAAAATAAATATACGAGTGATTAAGAAAAAGCACATAATTACAGAACTAATGTAGATATCAATTTGATTTATATATGAAAATCATTGCATAATGACGCAACACTATAACCACGTTCATGTATATGAACTAATTCTCAAGTTTCACTTTTAGTGTTAGATCTAATGGTATTACGTAACTGACCAAATCGGAATGGAATGATATTTTATTCTGTTCCCTAACAGCTAAAAAAACTAAGTGGTCATAGTGTAGTGAACACAAACACCAGTAGCAACAATCGAATGTATTTAACACAAAATTACAGGACTTGTTAATAAAATCTAACAATCATAAAGTAAATGCTTAATTTGCAAAATGTCCATCAATTGTCTCAAAATGACTCAGACTTCATTGTTCTTGCATTTTCATACAAATTGCATCCTGTTTCGATTCTTTAGTGTTCGATCATCTTGTTTCTCTGGTGCCAGACCTTCTGTTCATGACTAACATCATATACTACTTATGTCAACATAAGTAGCACACACCACAATAGTACTAGGGTAAATGTTTGGAGCCAAAGTATTCTCTTTTCAGTCGTTTGAAATTTTTAAAAATGCTTTGAAAAAAGCTGTTGATTTATTGACTAATTAGAGTAATGGACTTATAACAATCATCATCATGTACAATCAAGACTACTAAAATGTCTACAGTGAGAGTAAATGACTGTTTTTATAAAAAAATAGTATGATTAGTTCTAAGTTTTAAAAACTATTCTGGTAGTCAATATTAGAAAGCTAAATACTTTTATTTGTAAGCAACTTCATACAATAATTGATGCTCTTACATAAAGGAAATCTAGTTGATCTTCATTTGAGAAAATAATGAAGTAAAAATCGGTTATACTGTTGGATATATATATATATTCAGAGAGGGGTTTTGTGGATATTATAGTAATTTCATAGTTAAATTTATGAGTCAATTGATGCACACTTCTGAGGAGTCCAATACCAGACCGAAAAGGCCGTTCGGTGCTTCCAGGTTTTCCATGGTGGTCTAGCTTTAATGAAATCATGAATTCAACTATAAATATATATATGCAAATCTCTTTACTCGACATAGAACATTTATTTATCCCATTCAGTTTTCATTACCATCTTTCGATTAATAAGTTGTACTATTAACTAAACGAAATGTCACATTAAAAGAAAATTAGTTACATATATTACTTATGAATGATTTTTAGAGAGATTTGTAGGAGAAATAGGATAAAGCATTATAATCTAATTTCTAAGATATTTAAATGTTTTATGGAGAATTTGGTAAAGTTGAATATAAAAAAGTTATAATATTGAACGATTAGCAAAAAAAAGGAACCTGTGTACAAGTTGGATCATATGAATTCTATAAATGGTCACTCAAATAATCTTTCGTTGAAATTTTATCACAGTTCCAGGTTTTCTATCAACCTAGATACATTTTGAACTTGTTTAGATTAATTTTGATAAGTATATATATATATATATATATATATAATATTACTGAATATACATATCTTAAAAGTAAGTCTGTCTGGCGCTGAATCATAACATAGGTAACAGATTGAAATAAATTAACTTCCGTTATTTAAATAGTATATCATTATGATTGTAGTTATGTACAAGTTCCAGACACAAATTTTACCAGAGGCGTTCCATTTAAAAGGTCATATACATTTCTAATCAGTTGAATAGTCTTCCTTATTTATAAAAAAAAGAAGGTAGAAACCGTTTCAAGTGATTGATAAGCCTTTATTTGTAACATCTGAACATTGCGCAAATTTTTCCATCAAATTTAAGCAATTATGCAAAACTTTTCTGAAAATCAATTTTTGTATGTATGTGCTTTGTCTTGTAACTAAATTTATACTGGATGGTTAAGTACATATGTCAGAATCATAGAAGCGTGTCGAAATTCATATATACGTCTACATAAAGGCAATTTTAATAAATAGATCTGAGTAAACACAACCACATACATATACACTTAAGTTAACATACATATATATGTATTAGGATGTTTTATAATCATACGAGCATTCAAAGTTCTCAATGTCATTAATGCAAATTAAGTTCCTATTCTTTAAGTTTGTAAACTTGGTGTGCCAGAAGGACTTACAATTTAAAAGAGATTGAAAAACCACTCATATTTGTGTTTTGGTTGACTAAACATCAAACTTTAGAATTAAAAATAGTATTCGTTAAGAAACATGTGAATTATTTGTCGGTTATATACAAACAGTATCCTGTTTATGCAATATGAAGACGAATAGAAAGAGAACTTTACTAAGTATTATGTAAGAATTTTATGGTAAAATACTTATGGATTAGTACATTCAATTTGGAATGTCGAAGATTGACTCATTTTAATAATATTCATTCAAAAATCTAATTGAATTAAATAGTTTGAGTATTCATATTAGAATAATTTATATTTACGTAGATAATAACACATTAGAGTGTTTAGTTAAGAACTAGGTTGATTAATTTGTAACTAAGGGATTAATTATAGATAAATAAGACAATAGTGGACGGTTGCACAGTTTCGTGGATTAGTTAAAGTTAGACATTAACACCGTTGGATGCCGGTCAGCTCAGTGGTTTAGAGGTTAAGCGTCCGAACGCGAAACCGATATATCCTGTGCTCGAGTCTCACGAGGTGAGATCATGGATGCGCACTACTGAGGAGTCCCACACTAGGTCCAGCTTCAATTGAGCCATGAATTCAACTATTAAATTACTATAATATCCACAAAATCTCCTCTCTGTAAATAACTACTAGTCTACTATGTTCCAGTATAAGTATATATTTACGATTTATTACATTGCTAGAAACGTACGCTCAATTAACTGTGTTATCTGAGAAATTTATAGTAGATATTAATATTATATACTATCAATGTCGAAAAGAAAAACCAATAGCAATGCTACCAAAATAATGGCTTACAATTAACTTTCAACTAATAACTAGGTAGTATGTAGTAATCATTCATGAAATTAATATTTTTGGAATGGATTATTTCAACAACTTATATCAGCACTATTTTCTTATAAAACTTAAATACATAAAAATTCCTAATATAAACTTTAAACGAATTGATAAATATACAGATTATGTAAAAAGAAAAACGACCTCTGTACAACCTATTCAAGGAGGATAGATTGTAAAACTTTTAATAATATATTCTATTATCATTAGATTTGTGAATATTGAGTAATTCGTTTGTTGAATATATGTTATAGATGCTTGATT